GGGGCATCGGGATGATGATGATGATGATGATGATGATGATGATGATGATGATGATGATGATGATGATGATGATGCTTGTGGTGATGCTGATGCTGATGATGATTATGATGCTGATGATGATGATGATGCTGATGATGATGATGATGATTATGATGCTGATGATGATGATGATGATGCTGATGATGATGATGATGATGCTGATGCTGATGATTATGATGCTGATGATGATGATGATGATGATGATGATGATGATGCTGATGCTGATGCTGATGCTGATGATGATGATGCTGATGCTGATGATGATGATGATGATGATGATGATGATGATGATTATGATGCTGATGATGCTGATGATGATGATGATGATGATGATGCTGATGATGATGATGATGATGCTGATGCTGATGATGATGATGCTGATGATCATGATGATGATGATGATGCTGATGCTGATGCTGATGCTGATGATGATGCTGATGCTGCTGATGATGATGATGATGATGATGATGATGATGATGATTATGATGCTGATGATAATGATGATGCTGATGATGATGATGATGATGCTGATGCTGATGATTATGATGCTGATGATGATGATGATGATGCTGATGCTGATGATTATGATGCTGATGCTGATGATGATGATGATGATGATGATGCTGATGCTGATGCTGATGCTGATGCTGATGCTGATGCTGATGCTGATGATGATGATGATGATGCTGATGATGATGATGATGATGATGATGATGATGATGATGATGATGATGATGATGGTGGTGGTGGTGGTGATGATGATGACGATGATGAATATGAATATGAGCGTGCAGCGTTCTGTGCGTTCCAGCAGTGGGCACGAGGCGAGCACGTGCAGACTTGCATGCTGGCAGAGTTGATGTTGGCGTCTGGCGAATTTATTCAACATTCGACCCGACGATGAGTATCGAACTCATGGCAGACTCGTCTGGCCGCCCGATATAGGCTGTCGCTCACACTTCCTCTGCACGTTGCCGATCTTGTTGCATGTTTTTGGGGAATCCTTCGTGTGTGGGTACCGCTTCTCGGTGTCTCTGGAGTCGAGTGACATTTTGCCCCGTGGATAGTGTTTATTCGCTGGCCTGGCGGCCACAGCTTGCAGGGATATGCCGCGATCATCGTGTCGGTTTGTTACTTTGCGCAAGCGTTCTTTGTGACCCTGCACTTTCTCAGAGTCATAGCCGATGCTTTTCCAGAACCCACCCGCTTCATCGTGGTCGTGGACGGCCATATTCTGCCAGATACCCTCCCCAACGCAGATACGTCCATTAGCTTCTTGGAAGTGCCGTCTTCTGTGATGTTGTGGCCCTTTGGCCTCGTTAATCAAGAGGCTTCCGCCATTTCGCCGACCCCCAGAGAAAATACCCTGCGACGTACCCAACCCACGTGCATCAAATGGCAAGAGGAATATGCCAACATTAGCAGGAACAACGACAGTGTAGACGCGGCGATTTGCTGTGCAAGCTACATGGGATGCGCATGCGTTGCACGATTCGCAGGACGACGATCGAAAGAACGAGGCTTGAGGCCCCAGGATCGAAGAAGAACGGGTACGGGAACGAGGGGTAGGAGAGGGATGGAATGGAGGGCGGGGGGGGCGAAAGGCCATCGCGGAAGCAGCAGCATGCATGGAGAAGGTGAGGCGGGGAATAGGACGACGATGAAAGTGGCGGGAGGAGACAGAAGACTGCCGCGTTTTTCAAGTGCGAGCTAAACCCGCAGCGCTGCCTGCGCCATGTCGTCGCAGAGTTCCACATGATAAAACTTGTTTAGAGTGCAAGGAACGAGCGAGGCGTAGCTCGCCCGCTAGCTTCTCCGCCTCCTTCCCGCACATTTCAGCGCGGGAGCTGAACGCTCGCAGGCGCGCCGCCAGGTCTGCGGGCGGCCCGCGGGAAAGAAACTCAAGGCCGGGGTCGCGTATCATCAATCGGTTGTCCATCGTCCAAAGTTGCACTGGCGACGTACTGGTTGAACGCGGAGCGAGCAGCATCACGCGCGTGCCTGAACGCCACGCAGGTACAGTGCACGCGCGATTGGGACTTCAGGTCGATCACGCGCGTCTCCACCAGGCTTGGCAACACCACGCGACTGAGGATCTCACTGCGGTCTGCCATGCTGCTGTCCGCGAATGCAATGCGCTGCCTGCAAGTAAGGCGGCGGCGTCCACTTGTCTCAGAAGATGTTCCCGCGGGCCCGAAGGGCGACCGCCAGCTCGAGCCGCGGCGCCGGCAGGCCAGATAAGGATCATGCAACAGCAAAGACGATGACAGAGCAACGAGGTATCGGCGAGTGCATGACCGGCCTCCGTTTCCTGCACTTCAGTTCCCCTAGCTCATCGAGCTCAGCAGATGTTTCTGCGGGTCCGAGGGGCGACCGCCAGCTCGAGTCGCAGCGCCACGTGGCACGAAACGCAGAGCGAGGGCACGCGAGCATTGCTCGCGGTCAGAATCTGAGTCCCCGTGGTGCCTCACTCCGCTGGCCACCCACCAGCAGCCCTCGAAAGTGGCGACAGTTTCACAGATCGCAGCCGCCCAGGGGTGGCGAGGTCTAATCTGAGTCCCCGTGGTGCCTCACTCCGCTGGACCCACCAGCAGCCTCGAAAGTGGCGACAGTTTCACACAGGGATGGCGAGGTCTAATCTGAGTCCCCGTGGTGCCTCACTCCGCTGGACCCACCAGCAACCCTCGAAAGTGGCGACAGTTTCACAGATCGCAGCCCCCCAGAGATGGCGAGGTCTAATCTGAGTCCCCGTGGTGCCTCACTCCGCTGGACCCACCAGCAGCCCTCGAAAGTGGCGACAGTTTCACAGATCGCAGCCCCCCAGAGATGGCGAGGTCTAATCTGAGTCCCCGTGGTGCCTCACTCCGCTGGACCCACCAGCAGCCCTCGAAAGTGGTGACAGTTTCACAGATCGCAGCCCCCCCCCAGAGATGGCGAGGTCTAATCTGAGTCCCCGTGGTGCCTCACTCCGCTGGACCCACCAGCAGCCCTCGAAAGTGGCGACAGTTTCACAGATCGCACCCCCCCCCAGGGATGGCGAGGTCTAATCTGAATCCCCGTGGTGCCTCACTCCGCTGGACCCACCAGCAGCCCTCGAAAGGGGTGACAGTTCCGCAGATCGCAGCCCGCCAGGGATGACGTGAAAGGCAAGAGAAGAGAAGAGGAGGAGTGAAGAGAGGAGGAGAAGGCAAGCAAGAGAGGAGAGGAGGAGGGAAGAGAGGGGGGGGCGGGAAGGAAGGAAGGTGGAGACCGCAGTGCTCTATTCAAAACGAGTACCCAACGCAGGAGGGTTGGGAAAAACAAAGTCCACGGGTGAGCCCTTTTGGGGGCTTCTTTCGGGCCCTATGGTGCCGCTTGGGGCCTTCATAGGCGCCTGCTGTTGGTCTCGGGGGTCCTCTTGGGGTGGAGGGTTCGAAATGTCAGATCGAGTTGGCCCTCTTGAGCACTTTTTGGGGCCCTGTTGGGGCCCTCCTGGGCCATTTTGGGCGACTCTTGGGCTGTCTTGGTGCCCTCTTGCGCCGTCTTTAGGCTCTCTTGGGGGCTTCTTGGGCCGTCCTGGAGCGATCTTGGGGGCCTCTTGAGTAGTCTTGGACGCTGTTGAGACCGAAGCGGCGGACATTGAACAAATATACGTGTTCCCCCGGGATTGGGGCGATTGTTGCCTCTAGGGGCTTTCTGGGCGGTCGTCTCGAAGCCTTCTTGGTGCGTCTTGGAGCCCACTTGGGTAGTCTTGAGGTCATCTTAGTTGTTTTTAAGCTAGCTGAGAGTCCTCGGAGTGTAGATTTGGAGGCTCAGGAGGCCCGGATTGGTTCAGGAGCCCAGGCACCCCTTCCCCCCTTCCCTTCAATACGATTTTGGACCCTGGGCGGGTGGAAAGGGGTATGTGGACAGCCAACTGTCTCACACGCCTTGTCACCCGCGGCAAGCGGGGGTCGGCGGATTCCGTGTCCACTCAGCATCATCATGGGTACGACGAAGCTTGTCGCCGTCTCCGCGTCGTCGTACCTCGTGTTGAAGTCCGTGGCTGGCTTGCGGGACTTGACCTCGGTGTATGCGCTGTCCGCGATATATTCCTAGGCCTTGCCATCCCAGCCAGAACCATCTCGTGAAGCATATCGTAAACGTAGCCCTGACTCGTCATCCACATCCAATACATACATATATTTATATGTGTGTGTATATATATATATATCCCAATCCGGATCCGATCCCTGACCCGATGCAAAAAAGGCTAACCATCATAACCAATGAACCTATACCCATCAGACCAGTATGCTCGAGGAGCCTGGTTCTTTCTTACGAATGCTGCCAGCAGCGTGTAAGGTTTGGAGATGCGTTGCGGCACATATGGCCTCCTATATCATTCGAGCACAACCGTGTCCTGGCAGATGCAAGCCACAGCGACACTTGCCCCCCATCATGTGGGATCATCCAATCAGATGAAGCACACAACCGTTGATCAAGAAGTGAGTGCAGGCTGCAGCATTTTCCGGCGCTCCGGCGCCCCCGCTGTCGCCTTCAAGGCGTGCGGCCGCGTGTCGAGGCATGCGGACGCGGACATCGGCGTCCGTCCGTCCGTCCGCATCCGATAGAAGTACAACGCGTTCCAGTTAACATCAACTTCATTTCAATTTCAACCAGAGGCCCACCCAGGTGAAACGCCAGGATAAGCAAAATTGGCAAATAAGCATGAGGTAACAATTGCAGTGAAACAGGGCGGGTTCGGAAAAAAAAAGGGTAATGAGGGACAGAGGAAAAAACCTGTCCTTCTCCTTCCCTGGAGGTTCCCTGGTCCAGGGATTACTGGGGTTCCAGGAGGCTTCTGGAGGCTTCCAGATGCTTGTTGAGGCCTCCATGGCTAAATGTCCCAACACCTCGATCCTCGAACTCCGAATCTCGGTCCTCCGCCTTGCGTTGTCCCTGCATCTTCGGGTGCTCTCGACTGCCCGCGGGGTGTGCAGGTTCCACCCCAAGAAGGAGCTCATCCTTTCCAACTCCGAGGACCGGACCATCCGCGTGTGGGACGTCACCAAGCGCACCGGGAGGGCCCCCCCCGGCCCAGCCGTCGCGGAGGGAGGAGGATGAGGAGCACACGGATGGGATGGGAAGGGCGGGGGAGGAGGGGGAGGAGGGAGGAGGAGGATATACATAACTAGAAGGCGAGAGAGGAGAGTGGATGATGATGACTGTGGTGATGATGATGAAGACGATGACGATGACGATGACGATGATGATGATGATTATGATGCTGATGATGATGCTGATGACGACGACGACGCAGATGGTGACAACGTCAACGACGACGACGATGACTGCTGCTGAAATTGATGCTGATGCTGATGCTAATGATGATGACGATTCTGATCATGATCATGAGGATGGTTCTGATGATGATGATGCCAGTAATGATGAAGATGATGATGAACATGATGGTATTGGTATGATGATGAAGATGAGGAAGAACATGATGGTATTGGTAATGATGAGACGACGACGACGACGACCATGACGACGACGACGATGATGACGATGATGATGATGATGATGATGATGATGATGATGATGATGAAGATGATGATGATGATGATGATGATGATGATGGTGGTGGTGGTGGTGGTGGTGGTGGTGGTGATGATGATGATGATGATGATGATGATGGTGGTGGTGGTGGTGGTGGTGGTGATGATGATGACGATGATGATGATGATGATGATGATGGTGGTGGTGGTGGTGGTGGTGGTGGTGATGATGATGATGATGATGCTGATGATGATGATGATTATGCTGCTGCTGCTGCTGTTGGTGATGATGAGGATGATGTTGGCGATCTTGATAATCAGCCTGGGCTGCTACGAGGAATTTTCAGGCGAGTGGGTTCTCCCGCATGTCTTCGAGCTGTCCGCTACCCCAGGCGGGCGTTCATTCCCACAATTCCAGGGGCTGGCAGAGCCTTGGCTCGAACTCGACTTGAGGACCTGACACCGAGGGAGGGATGTGGATGGTGGTGGCTAGGGTTGAGAGGAGCGACCACGCTCCGTTCCATCACCGCAGTCTACGTCCACCTGGGAACCAAGCCCAGGGCCGTGTCTCAACTCCTCGAGAAGGGAGGGGGTAGGAGTGGACGACAAACACGACGACGAAGTGAGGACACGACAACGACAACAGACGGTCGACCACGAACTACCCAGGGCAGGGGAGTGGGTCACGCCTAACCCCAAAAGGGGTGTGGGGGGGTGGGTGGGAACGTAGTGCCGCGGAAAGGAACAGGACAGCAGGGGAAGGAGAAGAGGACATGTTATATACGTAATCAAGTTGAGGCTCATGGATGGCCTGCAACAGTCAGCAACCACAAGCCAATCAAGTGTAATGCAAGATCATGGGAAGAGATTTATGACGCAGAGGCTACACAAATAATCTGGACGTGACTTACTCAAACAAGCAACGCCGATGCTAACAGACAGGAAGCTCAATACAACAACAATCAGTCATGCAATCCTGATGATGCTAGCGGACGCGCGACGGCTCAAACAGGAAGCCAGCGACAGTCAGAAAGCCATGATAACGAACTGGGGCGACCCACGACGAGGGGACCAGGCAGGCTTGACGCGCCAAGAGTAAGCCCAGCACAGTTGGCTGCCTCGTAGTTAAAGCACAGGGGACTGTGCGTCCACTAACACGAAGGATTGCAACAAAGGATTGCAACAAAAACCAAGGATTTGCAATCCTTCGGGTTTTTTTGCAATCCTTCGGGTTTTTTTTGCACCAGCGTACATACTTGAGTACAGTCAACCCGCATAGCAAGGATGGGCCACCTTCCCAAGGGTACCCCTGATATCCTTGCCCCTTCGGCCCTTCCTTGGCCACTTTCGCTGGCCGCGCCCCGCTCGAAAAGCCTCGAAATGGCCTTCCAAGGCCCTGGCATCCTCACCGTGCGTCCTTCTGACACAAGTTGACTGTACCAAGGGACAGAACCAGGGTATCCTGCCAGCAAGAGGCAACCAAAGCGTCGACACAAGACAGCCGAGAGCGGGCGGGGCGGGGGCGACACGCGACAAGGCATTGCATGGAGCAGGACCCGCACTACATAAGTGTACTGGCAGCGACAAGGCAGCGGCACGCATGGTCAAAAGTGACAGACTGGAGGGGCGCGAACTTGTCGTATCCGGACGCGACAGGGTCGCTGCACGCATAGACAAAATAACAGACTGGATGGGGCGCGAACCCGTCGTATAGTCTACCCGCATAGTAGGGATGGGCAACCCTCCCAATGGTACCCTTGCATCCTGGCCTTCTCGGTCCATTCTTGGCCTCTTCCCCTGGCCGCGCCACGCTCGCAGAGTGTCGATATGGCCTTCCAAGGCTCTTGCATCCTCATCGCGCATCCTTATCATACGGGTTGATTGTATTTGACAGAGGAATTATGGCCTCGGGAGTGCGAATCTGGGGTGGTTTGCGAGGGGTGGTGGCTCGGTGATCTCGAATCCGGCGTCATCTGCAAGGAATTTGTGGCCTCGGCAGCGCGAACGTGGTGCACTTTCCCAAGTATGGTGGGGTAGGGACCGCGAACCTGGCATGACTTACGAGGAGTTGTGGCTTGGGGAGCGTGGGTCTGCGTAATTTTGCCAGGGATTGTGGCCTGGGGAGCGCGAGCCTGATGCAACTTGCCAGGGATTGTGGCTTTTGGCGGCTCGAGCGCAAGGCTGGCGTAATTTACCAGAGGTTTGTGGCTTGGGGAGCGTCAGTCTGGTGTACTCCAGGAGGCATTGGCTTCGGAAGCGTGAATCCGGCGTAACTTAGAGAGCGGTTATGGCGTCGGTGGCGTGGATCTAATGTGTTTTCAAAACAGGGTTGTGGCTCGGGGAGGGCGAGTTGGGCGTAATGTGCGTGGGGGCGTGGCCTCGGGGGCGCGAACCGATTGCAATTTCCGATTGGTTTGCAACTTGCGATTGCCATTTCCGATTTGCGATGGAATTTGCAATGTACGGTGTAGTTTACGATGGAATTTACGACTGATTGAGGCCCCGGGAAGCAAGAAACCAGCTTATTTTCGAGGCGTGGCGTGGCGAACGCGAATTTTTGGAGTCATTTCTTCGGGATTTGGTTTCGGAGGCGCGAGCCTGGTGTAATTGTACGAGGGATTGTGGTGCCGGGAACGAAAACCTGGTGTACAGTGGAGGCCCATGCCAAGAAACGCCCTGCTTGCATCCAGGGTGCCCTGGGTTTTTTGGGTTTCGCTGGTTTTGCCGTGGTAAGCGCGACGTCCCCGCACCAAAAATCAATGGACGTCCTGGGGTCTCAGGGTTGGGTTTCTTGTGGGAAGTTTCTTGTGGAAGGGCCACTACCATAATTTACGAAGGGTTGTGGTTTGGGGAACGGTGAAGGCCGCAGCTGCGGAATTGAAACGTGGGCGCGCTTCTGGCCTTGACGGGGCACCACCCGAATTTTGGAAAACAGCGGCAAACGACTGAGGAGGTCTCCCGAGCTATGTGGCACAATTCTACACCGAAGTCTGGAGACAAGGTCAGATCCCAGAAGCTTGTAGGCACGCGAGGGTGTCGATGTTGTTCAAAAAAAGCGACCCTGCAAAATGTGATAACTACTGCCCCATCAGCATCTCGCCCGTCGGCTGCAAACTGTTCGCGGCCATCCTTTTCCAGAGGCTGAAGCAGGCGGGGGCTGAAGACCGCACGTGGCGAACCCAATTCGGGTTCTGCTCCGGGCGGGGCGCGGCAGACGCAGTGTTCCTCGCCCGCCAGATGTTGGACGACACGTGGTCAACGCGAGGTGCAAGTCGTTTGTTCCTGGCACCCGACTGGGCCAAGGCATTGGATTCGGTCTCGGTGGACGCGCTTGCAGGATCGTTGCGGAGACTTGGCTGCCCAGAAGGTTTCGTGGTCGTCGTCATATCGATTGACAGCGAGCGCAGGTTCGTCGTGAGAGACTTCGGGACCACGTCCAGCGTGCGTCAGCAGAGGTACGGCATATGCCAGGTTTGTCCGCTGTCGCCTTTCTTGTTCACCACTGTGATGACGACGCTTCTCACAGACGCGCACGCGCTGCTGCAAAAACGTGCCCGCCCGATGCCAGAACATCGGTTTGCAAGGGAGCTCGTGTACGCGGACGACATGTTGCTCATAGGCTCTCGCCCGGCCGTCGTTCAAGAGCTGATGCGCTGCGTTGAGGAGGATTGCGGAGGCCACTACGGGGGCCAGTTGGAATTCATGAAATGGAGGACTGATGCAAATATTACGTGACGCAACGAGGTCCCCATCCCAGCCAAGCAGTCATTCATTTATCTCGGGGCGTCTCTTGCTGCGGACGGGCGCATCGGCGCAGAGCTGAGTCGGAGAAGCGGGGCAGTCAAAAGTGACTTCAAGATGCATGCGAGAATCTGGTCGCATTCGATTCTGAATAGGAGGCATAATCAGCGCATATGCAGCGCTTGCGTTGTTTCCAAGCTCATAGTTGTACTATTCACTGCTTGCCATAATCGAGCCGAGCGAAGACGGCGCGACGGCTTCCAGAATCATTTTCTCAGACGGATTCGCAGAGCCCCCCCGTCGTACATCAGTCGGGCGTCGAATCGTACAGTTCTGCAGATTTGCTAACCGATGCCTTTGAGCTGTAGTCCCGCGCGTTGACACATGTTGTAATGGGCCATGTGGCCAGAAGACCGGACGAGAATCCAGTCTCAAACTCGGTGTTTGAGCCGGGCGGTCTGGTTCTCGGGAGCCTCTTGGGGAGAAGGAAAGGAAACCGCCCGATACAGTCGTGGGGGCCCATGGTGCTAAAGAGTTGAGATAAGTTTGCCGGCTCCCATGGGCAGCGACTTGCTGACTACTTCCGCCGGGAGGGCGTTGCAGCTCGCAGGTGGGGGCAGGCGGTCAAGGCTTTGGGTGGCGCTCTTAGGGCATCCGCTTCCGTGCACGTTTCCACCCATGGCTCATGCGCTGTGGCCGGTGCAAGGCCTCCATGCAGATGTGGCTTGCGGAGCGCGAGTCTGGTGTAATTTGCTAGGGGGTCTTCGGGAGCGCAAAGCCAG